AGGTGCCACAAGTACTCCTTTTCTTTTTGAGAATACAGACTAACACGGCTGCTACTCTGAAACCTCTATAAATTCTGGATCCCAACTACCTCAGTACTGAATTCCCCTCACTGAGCCATGCACTCAGGTACACACACACGGGGCAGGGAGGGACGGACATAAAGAGAAGCAACTCCCAGACTTCAGTGCAGAGAATTACATCCCAAACAGGCTAGTGTAATAAATTCATCTACTGTAGCAGGGTCTTCAGCTCTCTCACTCCACTTTGCCCAGAGTGCACTCCAGAGACGGGATGAGAGCCTAGGGGCTCTGTATGTCCTCCAGCAGCATCCGTGCTGCTCTGACCTCCCCAGAGAGACATGTTCAGACCCTCCATTTCACAGGAAGCAGTAACAAAACCTCCCCTTGATTTTCCATGTGTCTGAGCCACAGAACTAGAGCCTGATCCAGAATCTGTTGACTTCAAACGGGTAACTGGTGATTGACTGCAGCGGTCTTTGGATGAGGAGCTGGATTTCTACCCCCTTCATAAAGCAGTTTCTTGCCGGCTGGCTATGGCTTTCCCTCAAGGATTCTTTGTCTGCCATCAGCAAGTGTTTTGGTCAGTCCTCCCCCCTTAAATATTGGGGTCAGAGAGAGCCCCATTGCTCTTACCTCCATAAACAGGTGGCTCTTTCAGAGCCCAACAGTTTCACCCGCATGTTTTCAGCAACACATGTGCCCAACGCCTCATTTCCCAGGACTCGGAACATTCAGGCTGGTCTGCCACGGGTTCCACTCATCCATCCATCACACAGCTGGCTTTGGTCAGTACCTTTGGTGTATTATTGTGTCCCACATCTCTAGTCCATGGATTTCCTCTCCGGCCCGTCACACTCAGAGCCAGTGGGGAAAAGAGGCTCCGACCTTTCTTCTTCCACAAATGCTGATAATAATCTCCTATCTGCAACCTTTTTTATTGCAGATCCCAGCGCTCCTCCCCCAAAAAACAAGGCTAGAATTGGATCACTGAGATAGACAGTGCTGGTAGCAGTGAGCAAAATCCACCTCTATGTGGAGAAACTAGTACAAGCCCCAGCACCTTGCTGGACCCAGACCTATGCAGGGGAAACACACACACATACACTCTAGGAGAGGCCAATAGGCAGATTGTGGGCCAAATCCAGACCACCAGACACTTTTGAACGGACCCTGAAATATTTTAATTTACTTTACCATTATCATTACTGATTTTTTTTTATTATTTTCTCTGGAGTCTGGACCTTGACCAGGAAATATGGACCTTGACAAAATAAATGGACTACCCTGTTCTAGGGGAACTTGGCCTCCACCATCCACACGGCTTTGGGGGAAAACTGCAGAGAGGAGCCAGCCAGCAGGGTGCAAAAGCAGCCAAAGCCAGGACTTCTGGTCCTTCAGAGAACAATCTACAGCTTTGAACAGCCTGTCCCTGCCCTGTGCTGATCAGCTTTTGCTCCAGGCCTCCTCCTCCCTTCTCACAGTCTCTTCACCTCATCTTCAGTCTACACTTGCCCCTCCTTCCCTTCCCTTTAGCTGATCCCCTCCAACCTCCCTCTCAAAAAATCATGGAACCCCCGCCCCCCCCCCACCACACACACACACACACCCCTTGTAGGCGTCTTTCTTGTAGATTTTGCAAACTTCGATGGGCAGTGCAAACAGATGCACATCGTGAGACACACAATGGTCAGCCAGGGAGCCAAGTGTCTCCTACCCACTGCCGGAACAAAACCTGTTTATCACCTTCTGATGTCCACTCTTAACTAATGCACCTTAAGAATCTCAGTATGGAGACAGAACTCCTTAAATATCATCCATTTCACAAAGCTTAAGATGACCAGAGCATCACTGGCTCTTTGCAGAGACCTCACACGCCATCCTTTGGCACACTATTAGGTAGACGATAGACCCAGAAGATCCCTGGAAACCCCACATGCCCCCTTATGCCCTCTGGCCGTTTGCCTCAAGGGGTCTCTGGGTCACACCTCTCTTCTCTGGGTCACACCTCCCTTCTTACAGTAAGGGCAGCCACTGGCTGTTAATAAGCATCCATTCAGAGCTTTTGTGCCTGGGCCGTGTATCAGAGCCCGCATTTGCTTTGCCCTTAATATGTACAATTTCCATAGGGGATTCTTGAAGTGCGATGCACCAGCCTTCCTGTTCTTCGCTCTGCTGGTGCAATATCCATCCCCCCCCCCAGTGCCGGTCCTGTCTGTTCAGATCATCAGCTGTTCGGGGCAGCTCTTCTACTACTCAATGTCTGTGTCGCACACTGGGGCCCCATTCTCAGCTGGCCAGTGGGCACTACCCTAATAAACTAATTAATTTTTAAAAAGGCCTGCCCTCCAGGTAAATCCGGCTTATGTCTTCAGACTAAGACTCAGGCAGGGCGACGTCATTAGGTTGCTGCCTCTCAGCATGCAGGTGGAATTTCGCCTACTGCCATCAGCACGGTCTCGGAGCCAGTGGTGCCAGGATGGACTTTCCTAGGGTTGTAGATCCCAAGGCCAGAAGGGACCACGGGGATCATCTAGTCTGACCTCCTGCATAGCACAGGCCAGAGAATCCCTGTTTGAACTAGCACGGAGCTTTGAGGGGGCGGGGAACCATTCAATCTTGATTTTAAAATGGCCAGCCATGGAGAATCCACCACCACCCTTGTTCCCATCGTTCATCACCCTCACGGTTAAAATGTTACTTCTAGTCTGAATTGGTCTGGCTTCAGCTTCCAGCCGTTGGATCGGGCTGTGACCAAGTCATCCCTCAACCTTCTCCATGTTAAGCTGAACAGACTGAGCTCATGTGTCTCTCACTGTGAGGCAGGATTTAGGATCCTTTAATCTTTGTGGAGATTAAGATTTTGTCACAGTTATTTTTAGTAAAAGTCACAGACAGGTCGCAGGCACACAAATTTATGGAAGCCTGCAACCTGTCTGAGACTTTTACTAAAAATAACTAGGGGGGAGGGGGGAGAGGAAACAGCTCCAACTCCAGGACCAGCTACAGCCATTGGGACAATGGGGGAGGAACAGCTCCAGCCCCAGCTGCTGGGGTGGGGGGAAGGAAGGCCCCAGCCAGTGGCAAGGGAGGACGGCCACAGCTGCTCTGGGGCGGATGGAGGGGGGACAGCTCCAGGCCCATCTGCTGACTGTTCCGGCCACAGCCACTAACTACCCCAGCCGCCGACCACCTTGGCTGCGGGGCAGGAGGCAGCTCCGGCCCCCACTACTGCTGCAGGGGGCGGGTTGAAGCCGAAGAAGTCACAGACGTCCATTAAAACATAAGGGCATCTGTGACCTCCGTGACTAAATCGTATCCTTTCATCATCCTTTCATCTTGGACGAGTTGCATCCGAGAGTGCTAAAGGAATTGGCGGCTGTGATTGCAGAGCCATTGGCCATTATCTTTGAAAACTCGTGGCAAACGGGGGAAGTCCCAGATGACTGGAAAAAGGCTAATGTAGTGCCAATCTTTAAAAAAGGGAAGAAGGAGGATCCTGGGAACTACAGGCCAGTCAGCCTCACCTCAGTCCCCGGAAAAATCATACAGCAGGTCCTCAAAGAATCAATCCTGAAGCACTTACATGAGAGGAAAGTGATCAGGAACAGTCAGCATGGATTCACCAAGGGTAGGTCATGCCTGACTAATCTAATCGCCTTCTATGATGAGATTACGGGTTCTGTGGATGAAGGGAAAGCAGTGGATGTATTGTTTCTTGACTTTAGCAAAGCTTTTGACACGGTCTCCCACAGTATTCTTGTCAGCAAGTTAAAGAAGTATGGGCTGGATGAATGCACTATAAGGGGGGTAGAAAGTTGGCTAGATTGTCGGGCTCAACGGGTAGTGATCAATGGCTCCATGTCTAGTTGGCTGCCGGTGTCAAGTGGAGTGCCCCAGGGGTCGGTCCTGGGGCCGGTTTTGTTCAATATCTTCATAAATGATCTGGAGGATGGTGTGGATTGCACTCTCAGCAAATTTGCAGATGATACTAAACTGGGAGGAGTGGTAGATACGCTGGAGGGCAGGGATAGGATACAGAGGGACCTAGACAAATTGGAGGATTGGGCCAAAAGAAATCTGATGAGGTTCAATAAGGATAAGTGCAGGGTCCTGCACTTAGGACGGAAGAACCCAATGCACAGCTACAGACTAGGGACCGAATGGCTAGGCAGCAGTTCTGCGGAAAAGGACCTAGGGGTGACAGTGGACGAGAAGCTGGATATGAGTCAGCAGTGTGCCCTTGTTGCCAAGAAGGCCAATGGCATTTTGGGATGTATAAGTAGGAGCATAGCGAGCAGATCGAGGGACGTGATCGTCTCCCTCTATTCGACATTGGTGAGGCCTCATCTGGAGTACTGTGTCCAGTTTTGGGCCCCACACTACAAGAAGGATGTGGATAAATTGGAGAGAGTCCAGCGAAGGGCAACAAAAATGATTAGGGGACTGGAACACATGACTTATGAGGAGAGGCTGAGGGAACTGGGATTGTTTAGTCTGCAGAAGAGAAGAATGAGGGGGGATTTGATAGCTGCTTTCAACTACCTGAGAGGTGGTTCCAGAGAGGATGGTTCTAGACTATTCTCAGTGGTAGAAGAGGACAGGACAAGGAGTAATGGTCTCAAGATGCAGTGGGGGAGGTTTAGGTTGGATATTAGGAAAAACTTTTTCACTAGGAGAGTGGTGAAACACTGGAATGCATTACCTAGGGAGGTGGTAGAATCTCCTTCCTTAGAAGTTTTTAAGGTCAGGCTTGACAAAGCCCTGGCTGGGATGATTTAATTGGGGATTGGTCCTGCTTTGAGCAGGGCGTTGGACTAGATGACCTCCTGAGGTCCCTTCCAACCCTGATATTCTATGATTCTATGATTCTCGTGGCTCTTCTCTGAGCCCTCTCCAATTCACCAACATCCTTCTTGAATGGTGGGCACCAGAACTGGATGCACTGGCGAGCGACGGGTGAAGAAGTCGCATTTCTAGGGTTTATTTTTCCTCTAGTTTAGTGATTTCTCCCCGAGCGGAGTCTCTGCCAGGTGTAACCACACCTCCTTCTCCCCACACATACACTTTTCTCCCGTGGTTTCCATTCTGTAGGCAGCTAAGGTACCAACGAGTGCAACACAGATCCACAGAGGACATGTCCACTATGATTAAACTTGCTCTGGGTTTCTTTTTGCTGGGACACATGCAATACGTTGTGAATTCAAAAGGAATCTTTCCCCCAGGTGGACAGAGAGTCTTTCCCCTCCCCTGCCCCCCAGGGACTCTCCGAGGTGTTACAAGCACTGAGCTCCCCCGTGTCCTCAGTCACCATCCTCCATGGACTCTCCGAGGTATCACAAAGAATGAGCTTCCATATGTCCTCGGTCACCATCCCCCATGGACTCTCCAAGATGTCACAAAAATGAGCTCCCCTGTGTCCACTGTCACCATCCCACATGCATTCTCTGAGGCGTTACAAGCGCTGAGCTCCCCCGTGTCCACGGTCACCATCCCACGTGGATCCTCCAAGATCTAATAAGCAGTGTTCTCCCACAGAAGCCCTTTGTCCACGTGTCCCCTGTGGATTCTCCCAAGTGTAATAAGCCCTGAGCTCACCTGTGTCCAAGGCGGAACACGCATTGCACTCCAACGGGAACCCTTTGCCCACGTGCCCGGCATGTCCTTACTCCAAGCATGGGTCTCTAATAAGGCATGAGCAGTGTGCAAAACCCTCCCCCGCCCCTCCCCTGGCAGGCTGCTCATAGCGGGTTGGCCGCGTGGGTCCTGTGGTGCAGGATGAGCGCCGAGCTCTGGCTGAAGCTTTTCCCGCACTGGGTGCACTGGTAGGGGCGCTCGCCGGTGTGGATGCGCTGGTGGCGGATGAGGTGGGAGCTGCGGCTGAAGCTCTTGGCGCACTGCGGGCAGCGGTAGGGCTTCTCGCCGGTGTGGATGCGCTGGTGCTCCAGCAGGCGGGAGCTCTCGCAGAAGCGCTTGCCGCACTGGGCGCACTGGAAGGGCTTCTGGCCGGTGTGGAGGCGCTGGTGCTGGATGAGGTTGGAGCTCCAGGAGAAGCGCTTGCCGCACTGCGGGCAGCGGTAGGGCTTCTCGCCCGTGTGCATGCGCTGGTGCTGCAGCAGGTTGGAGTTCTGGGTGAAGCTCTTGGCGCAGGCCCCGCACTTGTAGGGCTTCTCCCCTGTGTGGGTGCCCAGGTGGCGCATCAGGTGGGAGCTCTGGCTGAAGCCCTTGCCGCACTCCGTGCACTTGTAGGGCTTCCCCAGCGACAGGCAGGGGGCCGAGGCGCCAGCGTAGGGAGGGGCCTGGCCCGGCTGGGCCTCTGGCTCACTCCCCCAGGCCTGGCCGAGCCGCTCCACTGGGGACTTTCCCTCCTGGCCCCCAGCCTCAGCCTCATCCCTCCAGGCTGGGCCCAGACACTCCACTTCAGAGTCCCCCTGCTGCCCCCCGGCCTCGGCCCCCCAGGCGAGGTCTGGGTCTGGGCCCCGGGGATCGTTCCCGGCGGAGCCTCTCGTGGACATCCTGTGTGGCTGTGCTGCCTCCTGCCAGGGATCTCCCACCTCAGGCTCGCTCCCGCCACCTGTGGAGATAAGAGAGGGGTGAGTCACGCCCTGGGCCGAGGCAGACGCAAGGGGCTGCTCACTGCAGCCGGTTGGGAATTTCTCATGGGGACGATATTTCAAAGGACAACACGCTCTCCTCCTGTGAGGAAGGGGGAATTTTCTGTAACATTCCAACGATTCCAATGCCTGGTGCTTTGCGGGTTAAAGACCCTCTCTTGGGGCGGAGCCGGAGAAAGGCTGAAATTAACCCATATCTGTGGAGGCTCCACAAAGACAATGGGAACCCCAGGGATCGAGCAACTGATGCTTATCCTCGGGAATCTCTGGCAGGCTGAACTGGGGAACTCAGCATGGGTCTGCAGGAGCTGGATAAGGAGAGGAGACTCAAAGACTTGGCTTGTGTAGCCCCAGCGAAAGAAGGCTGAGGAGAGATATGATCGCTCTCTATCGGTACAGGAGAACCCCGGTTATCCGCTCTAATTGGGATCCGTGCCAGATCAGATCATCAAAACCGGATAAACCGGAGAATGACAAAATGTGATGCTGCAGCACCATCTAGTGGCCACCGGAGAGATCACCTACTTCTGGCCCTGGAGTCCTGGTTGTTTGGTAAACGCAGCGAGCCAATTAAGGGAGGGTTGAATAAACAGAGTTCTGCTCCACATCAGAGGGCTACACACCAGGGAGGCAGAGGAGTTACTTAAGTTAAGCACCAATGTGGACACAAGAACAAATGGATGTAAACCGGCTATCAACAAGTTTAGGCTAGAAATTAGATGAAGCTTCCTAACCATCGGAGGAGTGACGTTCCGGAAGACCAGGGGCCAAAAATCCTAACAGGCTTCCAGACTGAGCTTGGTAAGTTTAGGGAGGGGATAATATGGTGACATTGCCTACAATGGCATGAAGCCGATCTGCAACTGCTCGCAGCAAATATCTCCACCGGCCTGGGTGGGACACTGCATGGGGAGGGCTCTGAGTTACTACAGCAAATTTTTCCCAGGTCCCTGGCTGGTGGGTGTTGCCCACATGCTCAGGGTCTAACTGATCGCCGTATTTGGGGCTGGGAAGGAATTTTTCCCCAGGTCAGATTGGCAGAGACCATGGGATGTTTTTGTCTTTCTCTGCGGCATGGGACACTTGCAGGCTTAAACTAGTGTTAATGGTGGAGTCTCTGTAACTTGAATAATGACAGGTTTCAGAGTAACAGCCGTAGCTCACGAAAGCCTATGCTCAAATAAATTGGTTAGTCTCTAAGGTGCCACAAGTACTCCTTTTCTTTTTTCTGTAACTTGAAGTCTTCATTATTTGAGGACTTCCGTAACTCAGCCAGAGGTTAGGGGTCTGTTACAGGAGTGGGTGGGTGAGGTTCTGTGGCCTGCAATGTGAAGGAGGTCAGACTAGATGATCATGATGGTCCCTTCTGACCTTATGGTCTATGAAAGGCATCAGGTGGCTGGAATAAAGGGTGGCTTTTGGGAAAAAGACAACCGCTCTGAGACTAACAGGGAGATGGAGAGAGATCGAGAAAGGGATTCCACAGAAGCTTGGCTGGGTGGACCACTGGCTTAGCCAGAAAGGACTACATCTTAACCTTTAGTTCTCTATCCTATGACTTCCCGATGCTGGGTTCTAGCTGACTAATAAACCCTGCTCTGTTTTGCAAATGCTTCCGGATGTCACTGCAAATACTCGCTGAAGTGCATGGGTCCCTGAAGGGTGTACAAGTCTCTGACCAGGAGCCTAGCTTGGTTGGACTCACTGGGCAGAGCTCAGTGTGAAGCAGGAATGCTGGAGCTCAAAAGATCAGTCTCAGAGGCACTGATGCCATGTGGCCTACGTGAAGGAAGAGTGGGACCCCTTGGGGTCCACCACACAGATGGGGTTCTTCCCAGGGGCTGTTCAAAAGCCAGGGCATAGCACGGATCCTGCAGACCCGTGAGCCCACCCCAAATCACATTCAGAATTTTCCAGGTGGAAATTTTAATTTTACTGAATCTTTTCAATTTTCCATTGGGAACAGAAATAGAAGATTTTGTTCCAGGTCAGTTTGACCCAAATTGAAATATTTTGGATTGCTCAACTGGTCTGAAACATTTAGTTGCAAATCAGTTCAGCTTTAATCAGCATTTCATGTCAAATGCATCTGTACAACAGGGCTAATAGCTCTTCCCTCCCTCACAGGATAAACACATTAAGAAGGACTGTGAAGTGCTTAGAGAGCTACTGATGAAAAAGAACTAGGTATTATTTCTATTTCCATATTGTGGTACATTGCCTCATGGGAGTTGTGTTCCAGGTCCCCATTCTCTCATATGGGCTGGGCTCCCTGGCTGGACTACATCTCCCATGATGCAACATAGTCTTCCCTCTCAGTGAGGCATGTAGTGCATCATGGGAGATGCAGTTCGGCCAAGCACCCCAACCCATAGGCAAGAAGGGACGCACGAGGTACATGAACTACAATTCCCATGATGCACCATGATGAAAGTTGAATACTGAACTAACTCAAAACTAGGCTTGGCAGAATTCCATTTTTAATATGTATAATTTTAATGGATTAGATCACTGTTTATTTTTCAGCATTTTTTGTTTTTTATCGATTTAAATTTTCACAGTTGCGTAAAATTATGGGGTTTAAGTAATTTTTTTTATTTTTATCAATTTAAATTTTCACAGTTGTGGGAAATTGGATCAGATAATGGGGGAGGGTCAGACAATAATTATTTTATGACAGTAGATGTTGAGATTCAAAAAGTTAAAGCTTGATAATCATTAAAACACAAATGGCCAACGTCAGGTCAAAATGAGCAAAGGAAATATCCTTCACTCAAACTCTGATGAGCAGCATTTTTCTTACTTTGCCTATCTATACATTTCAATTTTTAGCAATGGAAACATTGTTTTGTGGGTTTGTGTGTGCGCACAGTGAAATCAACGTTTACTGACAAAACCCCTTCAAAGCCGACTGAAAACAAAGCATTTTGGAGTCACCTCACTGCTCCCCAATGAAGCATTTCCATTCAGGGATAGCAAAATGTTCCACATCAAGGAAAAAAAAACAAAAATGCTGAAACGAAACATCTCACCAGTTCCTAATTGAAACTTTTTGTTCCACAGGAAAAAAAAAATGCAACATTTCGACTTTTCACCCCATTCAGGACGAAAACAAACGTTGAAATGTCACAGTTTCCAACCGGGTGGACATTCCAGTTGTTGCTCATTTTGTAACTATCGTTCTGTTCTATGCGGGTCTGCATACTGTGCCTACCCCAGAATATTGGAGTCTCGTCCAGTCATGCAGCCAGCAAGGTAGCTAACATCTGTCACATTTGTTCTCTCCCAGGAGGAGAAGTGTGTAGTGGCCTGGTTTGGTCTGGATACCCACCAACCCAAACGTGTTGCTACACAGCTCGATAAGGGAGGCTTTGCACTTGGAGTGGAAGGTGGTGAGGTTTGAGATGCTCCCACGGAGAATCATACCACTCTCATTTTGGTCTGGAGCGGAGTAGAAGCCATGTGCCCTGCCGCAAGGCCCCTTTAAAAGGAGGCGGGGTCAATCCCACCTGGGCCTTTTATCTCTCTGCAGACCTGGCTGTCAGTCACAAGCTCTGGGATGTAAATCAGGCTCAGTCCATTTCCCCTTAAAGGAGCCGCTCACCCTGAGACCCAACAGCACCAAATATCACACTGGGTACTCTTCACAGCAGTGTGGCCTAGTGAATAAAGCACAGGACAGCTGGACTCTCTCTCCAGGTCTGCACTGGGTGACCTCGTGCATGTCACTTCCCCTGTCTGTGCAAAAGAAGGACAATGGTACAGCCTGTCTTTTGATGTGTTGCGAAAAGGGCCAATTGACTTGTTCAAGGGCCCAATTTGACGAAGTGGGAACGTTCTGTGATATCTGTGTGATGCCTATGCCCGCCTCCGTTTCGACTTTGCATTGCTACCCAGTGGGCGCGCAAGGTAGGTGAATTCCACCTGGCCTCGCTGGAGGACAATGGACTGAGAGGTGAGAAACGTCAGCTTTTGAGGGAGGCTCAATTGCCCTCGCTTGGGATTGTGCTGGCATGGCATGGCCAGGACGGACAATGTCTTGACCAGTGTGTCTCAAACTGGGGGTCCTGACTCAAAAGCCTATTGTAAGGGGGGGTCACAGTATTGCCACCCTTGCTTCTCCACTCTCCAGCCAACTAGCTCTGCAGGCAGCAGACCTGGCGGCTGGCCAGGTGCCCAGCTCTGAAGGCAGCGTCGCTGCCGACAGCAGCGCAGAAGGGTGGCCTGGTATGGATGGGGTAGATAGTCTTTGGGGGGGAGGGGGAAGGGGGTGTCACAGCCTGAAATATTTTCAAAGGGGGTTCTAGCAAAAAAAAAAAAAAAAAGTTTCAGAACCCCTGGTCTTTGACCTTTATGGCTCTGTGCTAACCTAGGGATTTCCCCGTGGTGGGTTTCAGATAACCAGTGAACCCTGTTCTGGTGTGAAAAGGCTGCTGGGTGTCACTGCAAATACTTGACAATCAAAAGAAAGCAATTCAGCTGACCCAACGTTAGGCCGTGTCTGGGATTTTGTTTAGCCACTTTCAAAACGTATGGCTTTTTAGGACCGATTCAGGATGCAACTCTTCCTTCTAAAGCCCAAACTGATTTCCCGCATTCCTCACCTGCACGGGTGCCCCTCAGGACCGCCCTTTCTGTGGAGTCCAGGAGATGCGGGGCGCAGGGCCCTTCCCCTCGCCTCATCTGGAACAGCACGTCCTGGGGGCAGGGGGCTGGGAATCCTGTTCATGGGGGAAGGAAACAGGTCAAAGGTCAAAGGAACGCAACAAAGCCAGGTGCGTGATCTTGACTCGCCTCCTCTTTGTATTGGGAGTGGGCTAACTGGGTTGGGGTGAGGAGGGGGAGAATCCTTCCTGACCCCTGCAGGCACCTGGCTGAAGCCCTGAAGCATGAGGTTGGATTAAAATCACTGTCTTAAGGCAGAGTTGGGGGTGGTCTGAGCAGGTTGAGGGGAGGTGATGGGGTGGGGGGGATCCCCGCACAGATGCCCCAGTGCTGGCTGGGTCAGTGGAGGGAGGGTATAGGGAGGCCCCCATGCAGGCAATATTGCTTTCCCCCGGAAAGAAAGAGGGGGATTCCAGGGCCAGAAGGGACCACCATGAGGCCCAGCTGGAGATGAGATGAGAATGTCAGACACACCCAGCTCTTAATACCTCAGGGAAATGTGGCCTTCCCCAGTTCCATCAGGGCCTACCTATGATCCTGTACAGCTCCCCCTCTCCTACCAGACCCTATTATGCCCGTAACATGCACAGCACCACAGTGGGGTCACATGCCTCCAGACCCATAATATTATCACCAAGTGCTCCCCAGCCACAGTGCTCACTCCGTCTGTGTGTGTAGGCGGGGCTGCTAGCCCCCTTCTACAGAGAGGGAAACTGAGGCACAGTGGGGCGCAGATGCTTGCCCACAGCCACATGGCAGAGCCAGGAATGGAACCCAGGAATCCTGCTCTAGCAACTAGGCAAGCTGCCCTCTGTCTCTGCAGCATTAGCATCAAGCCCAACACTGGGGCCCTGGCAGAGCGGGGCGAGTGGGGAGTGGGAGAGCTTGGGTAATACAGCTGGGTCAGAGAGCTGCCTTACTTTTGGGCTGCTTATTAACTTTCATGAGAGGGAAATCAAAGCTCAGGTGGAGAGGAGGGATGACTGGTAAATGGCAGGGAAAGCTCTGCACAGACTTCCCAGGTCTGGCTGGGTCAGTTGGGGGGAGGGAATAGGGGGATCCCCACACAGACTCTCCAGGGCTGGCTGGGGCAATTGGGGGGGCAGTGGGGGATCCCTGCACAGACTCCCTGGGGGGGATGGGGCAGTGGGGGGGATCCCCGCACAGACTCCCCGGGAGGGGGTGGGGGGCAGTTGGGGGGATCCCCGCACAGACTCCCCGGGAGGGGGTGGGGGGCAGTGGGGGGGCAGTTGGAGGGGATCCCCGCACAGACTCCCCGGGGGGCGTATGGGGGGGATCACCGCACAGGCTCCCCAGGGGGGTGGGGTGCAGTTTCGGGGATCCCCGCCCAGACTCTGCGGGGGAATGGGGGGCAGTTGGGGGGATCCCCGCACAGGCTCCCCGGGGGGGTGGGGGGCAGTTGGGGGGATCCCCGCACAAGCTCCCCGGGGGGGTGGGGGGCAGTGCGGGGGGAGACTCCTGCCCACCCCCCTCCCGCCACGCCGGGCTCGCCTCTCACCCCCCCGGGCGCTGCTCCGCGCCGCCGCCTCGGGCCCCCGCAGCCGGATGGGAGCCGTCCTGGCCCGGCGGCAGCACCAGGAAGCTCCGGTCTCAGTCGCATCTTCTGCGCCCCGCCCCATTGGCCGCTCTGCCCCACAGCTGCCGGCTCGCTGGTTTTAACCCGCCCCTCGCCGGGGTGCTGGGCTTGCCAACCCTCCGGGATCGGCCGGGAGCCTCCTGGCCTGGGCCTGGGCCTCCCGGCGGCGATTAAAGGCCCCCCGGGAGTTCGGGTGAAGCCCGGCTCGGGGCGATCGGTGTCTGCTGCGGCGCAGGGGAGACTCAGCTTTACCAGTGAGCCTCTCAGGCCAGCAGCCACAGTGGGTTCCCCGTCCCCGACCGTGCGGAAATCAAGACGGGAGGTTTGTCCTGGAAGATCTGCTCCCGCCGGTCGACGGAGCAGTTCTCTGGCCCGTGGGTCCCCGGAGAGCCAGTGGCCCTTCAGGCCTTGGGATCGATGGAAAAAAAATCCGAGGGCCTCAAGCTGCCGCTTGTAGTGGAGACCTCAGACCTCATCGCCATCTGGGGAGACCCGTCAGTGCAGCTGGCTTCAGTGGTCGGCCACTGGAAGAACCCTGATTTTGCGGACAGTATTACCCGTGTCCTCGAGTGGTCCATAAACAAGTGTCCACGAGCGGTCACAACAATGTAGCGTTTTTTGTGGAGTCAAGAGTGTTTCACACGCAGACCTGATTACAAAGCCCGGCGGTACTGCTCAGTGCTTTCTCTTTAAGGGGCGCAATACTGCTCCAGAGGTCAGAGGTCAGTCGGGATGGAAAGAAGCCTTCCCATCCCATAAGCCTTTTAGGGATCTGCCCCAAAAGGTCCAAATCTCGAGAATTTTTCCAAACTGCTCATCTGAACAAATATTGGCTCTATTAGGAAGGAAACGTTTTGATTTTTTATCTTAAAATGAATGGTTTGTTAGGTTATATTTTTTTAAAAGATAAATAAAATGAAACTGACCCAAAACAAATCATTTGTTGGAATTTGATTTGTGAAAAAGTTCAACTACCTGAAAGGGGGTTCCAAAGAGGATGGATCTAGACTGTTCTCAGTGATAGAAGAGGACAGGACAAGGAGTAATGGTCTCAAGTTGCAGTGGGGGAGGTTTAGATTGGATATTAGGAAAAACTTTTTCACTAGGAGGGTGGTGAAACACTGGAATGCGTTACCTAGGGAGGTGGTGGAATCTCCTTCCTTAGAAGTTTTTAAGGTCAGGCTTGACAAAGCCCTGGCTGGGATGATTTAGTCAGGGATTGGTCCTGCTTTGAGCAGGGGGTTGGACTAGATGACCTCCTGAGGTCCCTTCCAACCCTGATATTCTATGATTCTATGATTTTGGCACTTGTCCCAATTTGGGAGGGGTTTTTGTTTTGGTTTTTTTGGGTTGTAATTTCTCATTTCAAAATGACTTTCTTTCGAAATTTCTTTTCGAATGTAAAAAGGATAAAACGAAGCATTTCTATCGACATTAATTATTTTGGGGGGGATTCCGCTTCACCCAAACTTTGAGAGGACTTTGCCCCCCCCAAAAAAATGACAAAATTTTTCACAGGACAGAAACTCTGTCCTCCAATCAAGTCTAGGAGACATCCCCGAATCCCCTGTGCTGCCGTCTGGTGCACTGGTTTGGGGAGCACTTTGCAATATATTGTGGTGCAGCTGCCATATATTGTGGGCCTGGGACACCGGCACTCATCACAGGGAATTGTGGATTTGGGGTCAAATTTCCACCAATCCCTCTGTTCCAGCCCATGATCTCCTCTTTTTCATGCCATTTTTCCATCTCACTGCCAGAAATGTGGCTGCCTGACAGACCAACCTTGTCCATTTTAAGAATGGGTCATTTGGTATTTGCAGAACCACAGCCCCTGCACACATAGCAGGGATATGGGTGCTTACGCAGGGATAAAAGGCCCATAGCACGGCTGGGCTTGGCCTGGGTCAGCTGACCTGGGCTCACAGGACTCAGGCTATGGGGCTAAAAATTGCCATAAAGATAGGGTGACCAGATGTCCCGATTTTATAGAGACAGTCCAGATTTTTGAGTCTTTTTCTTATATAGGCTCCTTTTACCCCCCACCCCCATCCCGATTTTTCACACTTGCTGTCTGGTCACCCTCTGTATAGACAATCCAGCTGGAGCCCGAGCCTGAATGTCTACACAGCAATTTTTCAGCTGCCCTGGTCCAGCAGCAGGTTTTTTATCCCTGTGTAGACGTACCCAGAGGATGAGCAGGTGATAGAGAGGGTGTATGAATCTGGCCAACTGCTGCAAGAAATCACAGACCAAACAACGGGCGGGGGTTCTGTGCCTTAACACAGAGAGGCGGGATTGGGTCGCAATGCACACTGGGAATAACCAGCAGCAGATCCAGCCCTTTCAGATGCTCTCTCCCCAACCCTGCAGAGTACAGACACAGAGGGTGCGTCCACACTGGGGGGTACGGTTGTAACAGATGTAGACACACCTGAGCTAGCTTTGATCTAGCTAGCTGTGGCAGCAACCGCTTGACCTACCTAGAACCCCAGGTAATTACTTAGATGGCTAGCCCTCGCAGCCGTCTGCTGCCACAGCATTGCTAGTCCTGGTACCCGAGTCAGCAAGACCAAAGCCCGCTTGGGTATACCTACACCAGCTGCAATTGCACACCCTAGTTGCAACATAGACACATACCCTAGGATAAGGGCTGCCATAACAGCAGAGAAATGGGTGGCAATCTCTGCACTAGAAAGGATTTGCCAGCATAGCTATATATCAGCTAGCGGAGATGCAGCATATACCAGCTAAAGAGCGCTTTTGCCGTCTTACTTTATATTTAAACTCGGAAGGATTCCATTCTTTTCAGTGAATGTCGATTTCACCTTGCACACAACAAAATATTTCCATCCACAACAATCAAAATTTACAGCTAGGCCAAGTAAGAAGAATGTTGCTGAAAAACTTCGTAGGTTTTGGTTTAAGGTTATTTGCTTTGGACATTTTGACTGGTAGTGTTGACAGTTTGCCTTTTGACAGTTCTAAAGCTGCAATTTTTTGAAATCAACATCTACGGTCATTAAATCATTATTGCTGGACTCCCTCCTCCTATAATTTCCTGCAGCTGTAAGCAATGAAAATCGATACAACAACAAAACCTTAAAACCCATCATTTTGCACAACTGTGAGAATTTAAATTGATACAAAATAAAAAAAATGCTTAAAAATAAGCATTGATATTATCTGTTGAAATGATAGATAGAAAGACAGATAAAAGATTTCTGATTAGATAACGGAATTCTGCCAAGTCAATTTACACTGGTTCCCTGAATGAAATAAGCGAAATAACTTGCTTGCCAGTATTACTGCCTCTATACTCAAAAAGAAAAGGAGTACTTGTGGCACCTTAGAGACTAACCAATTTATTTGAGCATGAGCTTTCGTGAGCTACAGCTCACTTCATCGGATGCATACCGTGGAAACTGCAGCAGACTTTATAAACACACAGAGAATATGAAACAATACCTCCTCCCACCCCACTGTCCTGCTGGTAATAGCTTATCTAAAGTGATCATCAGGTTGGGCCATTTCCAGCACAAATCCAGGTTTTCTCACCCTCCACCCCCCCACACAAATTCACTCTCCTGCTGGTGATAGCCCATCCAATAGCTGGAAATGGCCCAACCTGATGATCACTTTAGATAAGCTATTACCAGCAGGACAGTGGGGTGGGAGGAGGTATTGTTTCATATTCTCTGTGTGTTTATAAAGTCTGCTGCAGTTTCCACGGTATGCATCCGATGAAGTGAGCTGTAGCTCACGAAAGCTCATGCTCAAATAAATTGGTTAGTCTCTAAGGTGCCACAAGTACTCCTTTTCTTTTTGCGAATACAGACTAACACGGCTGTTACTCTGAAACCTGCAAGTCTATACTAGGGCTTTTCCTAGCATGGCAATGTCACGGGCGTGATTTTTTCACACTCTGAACCGACACAGATATGCTGGTAAAACTTTGAAGTGCAGACCAAGCCTGAGTGACTTCGGACCCTAAGTCTGAGGCTCCTAAATCACCTAGGCACTTGTGAAAAACGTAACATTTATGCATGTGCTTTTTCCTTATGCCTTGAAGTCAGTGTGACAGATTGATAAAAGACCTGGGAAAACTCGTATGCTGAGAGATTGAAAGGATCACGATTGTTTCCCTTGGGGAACCCTCTGCTTAAAGCTCTGCTTTGCTGTGCTACCCACAGAAAACTTGGCAACGGTTGGGTGGCTGGTGTGTTATGACCACTGCCTGTCATGCTACCCAATCTGGTCTCCTTGTTCTCCCACATCTGTCTGTCTCCATGGGGTGTCTCTTGTCTAATCCTCCCAAGTGTCACTTTTTTCCTGTGGTTGTACCAGCCATAGCCCAGGACCCCATTACGCTAGGGGCTGTACATTATTTATTAGGTGTCATACAATAGCACTAGGGGACATGAACTCCACTGCACTAGGCGCTGTGCAAACACAGACCCAAAAGCCAACTCCAACAAGCTTACAGGAATAGAAATAATGGCAAAGAGCCGTTTTGCTTTTGAATGTAAAGTGTTTTAATGTTTCTGCAGTTATTTCTTCTGTGCATAATAATGGTTTGAAAGCATCTTTATCCTAGGGTCCCTATGGCACAAGCAGGCCAGAGGCACTCAACACAGCCTCTGGAATATGATAAAAGGACTTAATGTTGCAAAACCAAGGTTCTTAAAAACATCTGAATTAGAACTGGGCGCAGAATGGATTTTTTTCGATTCGCTGACAGTTCTGAAAAACATAAAATAAAATAAACATAATGAATTGCAGGGTGACCCTAAAAGGAAATGTTTTGAAATGTGGATTGCAAAGTCAAAGCAAAAGTCATTTCGGATCAACATTTCATTTGACCCAAAATTAAACATTTCATTTCAATTCTAAGCAATTTATAAAACAAAAACGGAAGGAACTTATGAGACAAAAAGTCACTTTGAATTAAAAAAAAAAACATGTATCAAAATGTTTCAAAACAAAATCTATATTTTTTTGGACATTTTTGGAAACGAGCACAAAGTCACCAAATGTTTTGGTGCCAGCGAATGTATATTTGTCACCAATAATCCAGCAGAATAATTTTGCCCAGCTCCAGTCTTAATACCTTCAAGCCTCTCCAACACAAAACTTTTCCCTCTGTTGTTCCATCTGCCAAACTGTATGAAAAGAAGTGAAAAAAGATGCAATCAAATCCCGGCCTAATGACCCTTTGTCAAACAGGGAGCCACTTTCACTGTTGCAGGGCTATGACATGATCGTTGATGGGAGGAAATCATCCACAAGGCAGATTGTCCATTAAAATATGGTTATGAAAATAGTTCCACATGAAAGGCTATATTTGTCTATTGTTTTTCTTTTTGTGTTTTGTTTTGTAAGAAAAGAACTAGAAAATACCATACAAAGACACTAGGCTGAAAGAGCACAGAGGAACGTGGTGTGGTTCACAGATAATAGTGGCAGTGTAGTTAGATTTCAGAGGAACAGCCGTGTTAGTCTGTATTCGCAAAAAGAAAAGGAGTACTTGTGGCACCTTAGAGACTAACCAATTTATTTGAGCATGAGCTTTCGTGAGCTACAGTGTAGTTAGAGACTCTTGTGATTCTTACACACAAAGGGGCAGTTAAGGTTATCCAGAAAGCCATAACTAGCATTTCCTGCTTCAACAGGCCATTGATCTGGTCAGAAATTGGCAAAATACAACCTAAATTGTAATTTTAGCATTTCACGACTTGAAAGAACACTGGTAGAAAGAAGAGGTGGTGTTTCTGCTCAGCCTCAGGCAGGACATCTATATGCAGAGCTGGTGAGGAAAATGAGGTTTTTTTGCCACAGAAAATTGAGAGAAAAATGGGAAGGGAGGGGGGAGTTTTTGCTGAAATTTTCCACAGGAAATTTCAAGCTTTTGGCAAAAAAAAAAACAAAAAAAACCCTCTCTTGCCTGAAAACTGACACGTTTTCCCCAAAACCTGGCATATTTTTGGCCAAATCACAAAATATTTCAATTCTGAAATGCCACGATGGTGCCTCATAGCAGTTGTAGTTCAGGGACCGCATGCGCCTATTCTCCGCCATTAGACTACATCTCCCATGATGCATAACAGTCTCCCCTCTTTCTAAACGACTGCAGTGCCTCATGGGAATTGCAGTTCAGGAGCCTCATGCTCCCATTCTTCTCTATACACCAGCCTCCTTCGTTCGATTACATCTCCCATGATGCATTCGGGTCACCCTGTAGATGACCTATCATGATGCCTCATGGCATTCACATGCCCATAGTGCATCATGGGAGATGTAGTCTTGATGGTTAGCCTGGCCTATAGCATGAGGCAACCAAAGTGCAATTCCTATGATTCACTGAAGTGGCTCAGGAACAGGGGAGATCTGGGAGAAGTGGATATTTTACCCACAAAAGCTTATGCTGGATAAATTGGAGAGAGTCCATCGAAGGGCAACAAAAATGATTAGGGGTCTGGAACACATGACTTATGAGGAGAGGCTGAGGGAACTGGGATTGTTTAGTCTGCAGAAGAGAAGAATGAGGGGGGATTTGATAGCTGCTTTCAACTACCTGAGAGATGGTTCCAGAGAGGATGGTTCTAGACTATTCTCAGTGGTAGCAGATGACAGAACGAGGAGTAATGGTCTCAAGTTGCAGTGGGGGAGGTTTAGGTTGGATATTAGGAAAAACTTTTTCACTAGGAGGGTGGTGAAACACTGGAATGCGTTACCTAGGGAGGTGGTAGAATCTCCTTCCTTAGAAGTTTTTAAGGTCAGGCTTGACAAAGCCCTGGCTGGGATGATTGAATTGGGGATTGGTCCTGCTTTGAGCAGGGTGTTGGACTAGATGACCTCCTGAGGTCCCTTCCAACCCTGATATTCTATGATTCTATGCCCAAATAAATCTGTTAGTCTTTAAGCTGCCACTGAACTCCTCGTTGTTTTTTAGGTGAGATCACGGTGCATCATGGGAGATGCAGTCCAACCAAGCTCAGCCTAGAGTGGGGAATGAGGGCACGAAGCAATTGCACTACAACTCCCATGAGGCAGTACGGCAGCATTTCAAAATCAAAAAATGTCGGTTTTTGGCTGATGTTTTTCTGAGAAAAAAATTGAAATTTTCTGGAGGAACCAGACACATTTTATTGGATCAAAACCCCAATTTTCCAGCGGAAAATCAATTCATTAAGAAGATACCCAGCACTTTTCATCAGCAGATCTCAAAGCACTTTAGTAGCATTACCTCCACTTTGCAGATGGGGAAAAAGAGGCACAGAAAGGGGAAGTGACTTGCAGCAGGGCAGCGCTAGGAATAGAACCCAGGTCTCCTCAGTGCCAGTCCAGTCCAGTGCCCTCCCCTCAAGGCCAGAGTGCTCTAAAGAGAGCCCACCGTGTGATATTTGGCAACACTGGGTCTGTGACACGGTGGACATGGCTTCACTGGAGCCCCAGAGCATGTGACGGACAAGCAGACCAGCGCAGCTGAGACTGGCCCTGCCTCCTCTTAAAAGGGCCAGCACGCCCTTTATTTGTAGGGTCTCTACGCCGCATGCGGTTGGGTCTGTCACTGGATGAGTGGCCCCTTTAAAAGGCAGTGGGCGTGGCCTCACCAGAGCACCCAGAGAATGTGACAACGAGGCTGGCATAGCTGATACTGGCCCCGCCTCCTCTTAAAGGGGCCTGCACCCCCCTTTATTTGTACGGTCTTTGTGCTGCGTGGCTTCTCTGGTGGGTGATGAGCCCTGATCGCTGCCGGAAGCTCTTGCCGCACTCGCCGCACCGGTAAGGCTTTTCCCCTGTGTGGATCCGCCGGTGAATGGTCAGGTGGGAGCTGACCGAGAAGCCCCGGCCACACTCGGTGCAGCGGTACGGCCGCTCCCCTGTGTGGGTCCGCTGGTGGAGGTTGAGGGTGGAGCTCTGGCTGAACCGCTTCCCGCAGTGGTGGCACTGGTAAGGCTTCTCCCCCGTGTGGATGCGCTGGTGCTTGGCCAGGTGGGAGCTGACGGCGAAGCTCCGCCCACACTCGGTGCACTTGTAGGGCTTCTCCCCGGTGTGGGTGCGCCGGTGCAGCACCAGGGTGGAGCTTTGGCTGAAGCTCTTCCCGCACTCGCCGCACTGGTAGGGCTTCTCCCCCGTGTGGATCCGCCGGTGGATGGTCAGGTGCGAGCTGACCGAGAAGCTCTTCCCGCAGTCAGGGCACTGGTAGAATCTCTCTGCTGCCGGGACCCGTGGCTGGGGCGGCTGGGGCAGCAGCTGGGCAGGGCGCACACTTTGGCCGAAACTGCCCCCGCACTGGGTGCACACGGTCTGGCTCTCCCCGGGCTGGGGGAAATGCAGACCCTGGACCCGCTGCACGGCAGCACTGCCCTCTTTGAGTTTCTTCAGGCCCTCACTGTCGGCAGCTGTTTTGCTCCATGGCTTTCCTGCTGGCCTGGCCTGGCTCTGGCAGGTGGCTGCGTGGCCTGGGGCCTGGTAAACGTTCCCTTCGGATCTCATCCCTGGTAACGTCCCGTGGGGCTGTGCTGTCTCGGGGCCTCCCTGCTGCAGGGCTGGGTTAATCATGCCGCTATCTGCGAGGATAAAGAGAGAATCCGAACATGATTTTCCAGGCTGTTATCTCATCAGCACCTCTCCCTTCTGCTTCCTTGTTTCCAGAATCTTAACTTTCATTAAAAAAAAAAAAAATCTAGCTGCTATGGTTGTGAAGAAAACCAGGAAAATGCAAATTGAGGGCATAACCGATGCTGCCTGAGTCTGCCAAGAGCCTGAGCCTGTTGCTCTCTGAGGTGTTTTGAGAAGTGTTGGCAGAGTTCATTTTACACGTGGAGCTTGGAAGGGTAACACTAGCTTCCCCCCGTCCCACCCAATTTGCTGCCAGAGCTGGGGAGGAAAGGAGAACGACTGAGGGGCGTGGAAATGAACTCATTAGAATGCCAAAAAATAAACCCAGCTGCCTTAATGACCCTTCCTCAGTTGTTCTTCCATCTCACACACGGACAGGCAGTGATGAAGGAGAGGGAGCTACCGCCCAATGTGGGGTGGGATGGGTGGAAAGCCACACGTGATGCATCTGCCACTCCTGATTGTAGGCCCCTTTGGGCAGGGACCGTCTTTCTGTTCTGGGGTTTGTACAGCACCTAGCACAACGGGGTCCTGGGCCATGACTGGAGCTCCTAGGCACTACCGTAATACATAATTTATGGCACCTAGCACAATGGGGTCCTGAGACATGACCGGGGCTCCCAGTGTTACCGTAATACACCCAGTAAATAACAATGATAATAATAGTTGTAATCCTCTCCTGTATGAGGTACAATTGGGAGAGCTCATGAGTAGAGCTAGGCAAATAATGGCTTTTTCGATTCACTGGCAAGTCAGAAAAATTTTTAAAAAAATCAATTTCAGGTCCAACCGAAAATAAAATTTTTCAACGTTTTCAGGGATTGAAAAAGTCAGATACATACACATCTGTGTATTGATTTGGGTGGAATGGAACGCTTCATTTTGAGAAAATCAGAATGTGTTGTTTTTATTTTGACCCTTTTTAACCATTTTCTCGGGGGGAGGGGGGAGTAGATTATTGTACATAAAAATAAAGGAAATTTTGAAACCAACAGTCATTTCACATTGAAAAACTGGAAACATTTCAGCAAATACTCTGACTTTGGGGGGAATTTAATTTAATTTAATTTTTCAGGGAAGCTGAAAGACTGTGGCAGAAGTCACCCAGCCGGAGAGATGAGTCTTGGCTATGTAGGCTGTGAGCTCTTGGAGGCAGAGAGCGTCTCTCAATATGCATACGTACAGGGCCTGGCACCACGGGGTGCTGCGAAGTCTCTGAGTGCAAGGGTAACAATGCTGTAATTTAGTTCTCGCAAAGCTGAAGAGATTGGATAAGCGGACAAGTGTGTAGGGCTGGGTGGGGGAGAAGAGACGGGGTGGGAAGCAGTATGGGCTAGTGGCTAAAGCATTGGACTGGGGTTCAGGAGACTTGGATTTTAGTCCCAGCTCTGCCACCGGCCTGAGGGGTGACCTTGGTAAATCACCTCATCTCTCCGTACCTCAGTGTCCCCATCTATAGCATGGGGATAAGGATACAGCTTTCCTGAGGGAAAGCGCAATACAATAGACAGATATTGTGAGCAATACCAGAGCAAAATTCTTTGGGCAAACCCTTTTTCCAGAGAAAAACACAGGCCTGGGTTGCCTGAATGCCATGTGAATTGGAGTCGAGTTTGGCAAATTGTTTCAATCGCTCAAAAAAAGAAAGGGGGGGGGAACAAATCCAAACGTTTGGATCAAAATGACTTTTCATTTCCAAATTTCCTTTGCTTTTATTAAAGAGTAATTTTTAAAACAGTTTAAAAAATGCCTGAAATCAAAAGGAAACATTTTGGTTTGCATCAAACACAACGTTATGTAATGTTTTGACCCAAAATTTTTGTTGCAGGACCCCATAAGGGTTCTCCCCCACCCACCCTGGTTTTCCAGATCTGCCCCTTAACCAAAAACACCAGTTATTAGCTCATCTCTAGCCGCGGCATTTCTGACCCCTCTTTCTCATCGCAGATGTGGAGGCGATTGTCTCCTTCCCTCTCACTTGCTTTCAGGGGATGGGGGAACTGACACCCCAAATCTAAGGGGGGAACCCAGAGTTAGAGCCAATCCGGGCACATCAAAGCCTACCCAGCCCCAACTGTCAAGGGGGATCCTTACCCCAAGAGAGGAGCGTCCCGTAGTTCTCTGGAACCATGTCCCTGTAGACGGACCTCGGAGCAGGGTCCAGCAGAGCCCACTGGATCTCAGCAAAATACATTGGACCCGCCTCTAATGTCCCAGCGCCCTGGAATGAGAAGGGTCTGAGCTTGGGGCAACCCAGCTGCCAGCCCTATGCCTCCCAGCTGAACCCTACACCCCTCAGTCCAGCCCCACATCCTCCAGCTCAGCCCTGCCCCTAACCCCAGCCCCACATCCCTGCAGCTCTGCCCCACTCACCCCAACCCCAAATCCTCCCCAGCTCAACCCTGCCCCCTCACTTTCTGTTGTGTCTCTACAGCGCCTAGCACACTGGGGTCCTGAGCCATGACTGGGGTGCCTAGTGCTACCCTAATAAACAATGTACAGTGCCCAGCACAGTGGGGGGTCTTGGGCTGTGCCGGGATCTCCGAGCCAGGACTGCGATCACAAACAAGAAGCCGGAGTTCTCATCTTACCTAGCGCTTTACTTTACAAAGGGCGGCGGGGCTCCTTAGCCCGCTTGCGCAGAGGGGGAAACTGAGGCACGGAGCGGGGAAAGGACCCACGAGTCGCCCCGCGGGCCAGGGGCCGAGCTGGGGAGCAGAAGCCGGGCGTCCTGCGCTAGCCGCGCCCCCCTGGTGAGCCTCCACCCCGGCTGCCTTGGGGGACCGGCCCCCCTGCCCCGCCCAGCCGCCGCCTACCTGGGCCGGGTCCGGCAGCCCCAGCCGGCGCGGCGGAGGCCCGGGACCGGAGCGGGACGCGGCGCTGCGCACGCCGCTGACCCGGGAAGTTCAGCCCCCGCCGGGGTGAGCGGGGAGGATCGAGCCGCGGGGCGGGCGCCGGGGGCCAGAGCAGAGCCGAGCGGCTCTGAGAGCCCCGGAGCTCCCGGCACAGCGCCCCCGCCCCATCGGTACCCAGCCCCACACACAGAGCCTCCTGCCCCACAGCCGGACCCCACAGGGACCCGAACCCCCCTCCTGCCCCACAGCCGGACCCCCAACCGCCCTCCCGCCCCACAGAGACCCCGAAGCCCCTTCCTGCCCCCCACCCGGACCCCCAACCCCCCTCCCGCCCCACAGCCGGGCCCCACAGAGACCCCGAAGCCCCTTCCTGCCCCCCACAGCCGGACCCCCAACCCCTTTCCCGCCCCACAGCCGGACCCCACAGAGACCCCGAATCCCCCTCCTGCCCCCCACAGCCGGACCCCCAACCCCCTCCCTCCCACAGCTGGGTCCCACAGAGACCCCGAAGCCCCTTCCTGCCCCCCACCCGGACCCCCAACCCCCCTCCCGCCCCACAGCTGGACCCCACAGAGACCCCGAATCCCCCTCCTGCCCCCCACAGCCGGACCCCCAACCCCCATCCCTCTTCACAGCTGGGTCCCACAGAGACCCCGAAGCCCCTTCCTGCCCCCCACCCGGACCCCCAACCCCCCCTCCCGCCCCACAGCTGGACCCCACAGAGACCCCAAATCCCCCTCCTGACCCCCCACAGCCCCTCCTGCCCCACAATCCCCTCCTGCCCCACAGCCAGACCCCACAGAGACCCTGAACCCCCCGTTCCTGCCCCGCAGCCCAACCCCTGTCCTGCCCCACAGCTGGACCCCACAGAGACCCCGAAGCCCCCTCCCGCCCCACAGCCAGTTCCCCAACCTCCCTCCTGCCCCACACCCCGTCCCCCAACACCCCTCCCATCCCTTTCCCCACACCCCATCCCCCAACACCCCTCCCATCCCTGAACCCCCACAGAGACCCCCAACCCTCCTCCTGCCCCATACCTGGACCCCCAACGCCCCTCCTGCCCTACACCCAAACCCCACAGAGACCCCTAACCCTCCTCCTGCCCCACATCTGGCACCCACAGAGACCCCGGACCCCACTCCTGCCCCACACCTGAACCCCCAATGCCCCTCCTGCCCCATACCTGGACCCCCACAGAGACCCCAGATCCCCCTCCCGCCCCACACACAGACCCCCAACGCCCCTGCGCCCAACACCCAGACCCCAACACCCCTCCCGCCCCACATACAGACCCCCAACAGCCCTCCCATCCCGACCCCCATAGAGACCCCAACCCCCCCTCCTGTCCCACACCTGGACCCCCAACGCTCCTCCTGCCCCAACCCCCACAGAGACCCCAACGCCCCTTCCGCCCCATACCTGGACCCCCAACTCCCCTCCTGCCCCACTCCCAGACCACATCACCCCTCCTGCCCCCAACCCCAAACAGACCCCCAACGCCCCTCCTGCCCCACACCCAGACCCCAACACCCCACACACAGACCCCCAACACCCCTCCTGCGCCACACCTGGATCCCATCGCCTCTCCTGCTCAACCCCCCCATAGACCCCTCAATGCTTCTCCTGCCCCCCGACCCCCCTACGCCTCCCCTGCCCCACACCCAGAGTGCATCGTCTCTCCTGCCCCGACTCCCACACACAGACCCTGAACACCCCTCCCGCCCCAACTGACACGCACAGATCCTCAAAGCCCTTCCAGTCCCACACCGCACACGGACCCCCAACACCCCTCCTGTCCCACACATGGACCCCGAACATCCCTCCAGCCCCACACGGATCCCAAACACCCTTCCAGTCCTGCCCCACACACAGACCCCTGCACGCCCCTCAAACCCCAACCTACACATACCCCATCCACAGTTATACCAATGGCCACGTCTACACTATGAGGCCTTGACTGGTATAGGAAGGCTGGCGCAGCTACAGGCGGCATGGACCGATGGGGAGAGCACTGGTTTGGGATGCAGAACACCTGGTTTCTCTTCCCATCTCTGGGTGACCTTAAGCAAATCGGCAGGGGGGATGTAACTCTGTGCCTCAGTTTCTCCATCTATGACATGATAAAGATACTGCCCTCCTTGGTCAATTGTTCGGAGATCTACCCATGAAGGGGATTGTACCAGTGTTAGTAAAACCACCACCATGAGTGAAATGGGCTATATTAGTAAGGCACAGGTTTGCTGGTGTCGCTGCGTCTGCGAGAGCCTTTTCTGGTACAGGTCTCTAGGTCAGCGATTGTACCCTTCCTGACAGCTGTGCTGGCAGAAATCTGTAGTGTAACCATTGCCTGTGGCTACATCAGGGATTTTGTCAGTGTAGCCATGTCAGCAGAAAACAGCCCCCTAACGGCTACAGCCGTCGGTAAAATGTTGACGTGTAATAATACTCGGCTCTTCTCTAGCACTTACCCTCACAGGCTTTAACACATTTCGCCTCACAACAGCCCTGGGAGGTGGGGAAGTGCCATTCGCCCCATTGTACAGATGGGAAACTGAGGCACGGCGGGTATGACACAGCAAAAATAACCCAGCAGCAGCTCAGAGCCCAGGTCAACTGACTTTGGCACATAGGGCTACAGTTAGCAGTGAGAACTCAGGCTGGAGCCCAGGGTCTGAAACCCAGCAAGGGGGATGGCCCTCAGAGCTTGGGTGAGAAAGTCAATGCTGCTAGATTTAGCCCTGTCGCATGAGCCCGAGTTAGTCGACCCAGGCTCTGAGACTTGCTGCCATGGGTTTTCTGGGTTTTTTTGCAGTGTAGATGCACCCAGAGAGGCTAAGAGTTCATCTGTGCCACAATAAAACACCTGCAGCTGGGCCGGGACAGCTGGCTGAGGCTCGCAGGACTGTTAAATTGCAGTATAGACATTCAGGCTTGGGCCCAGACTCTGGGACCCACGTCACCTTGCGGGGGTCTCAGAGCCTGCATGGCTACATTGCAATTTCCCAGCCCCAAGAGCCCGAGTCAGCTGACCCCTACATTTGATTGCAGTGTAGATGTATCACAGACCTGCTGGAAGTTTGCGGCATAGCAAGAAATTGAACTCGGTTCTCTAACCACTAACCTCTGCTTCCTCTCTTCTTCTACCTTTAGGCTTGGTGTGCGCTAGAAGGGGTTTGCCAGTATAGCAATTCCAGCAGAGCTAACCTGGCAAATGCTCCTAGATGAGATGCACATTTTGCAGAAATAGCTTTGTTCCCTGAACCAAATAAGCTCTGCCAGCAAAAGGACTTTTTTGCTAATACAACTGCATCTCCAGGGGGGTTTTCGCTGGCAGAGCTCTTTGGGCAGGGCTAGAGCTGGGAGAATAACTGATTTTTTTGGTTTGAAAAGGGGGAAAAAAGCATTTTGGGTCAGACCAAAAGTGAACATTTTTGAGATTTTGGGCAAATTAATTAAAAAAATATTCATGTCTGATTGAATTATCCTTTTGGGTTCCACCATTTTTCAATGTTTTGGATTTTTTGAAAGATGAAAGTAAAGGACATTTCAAAGCAAAAAGTTGTTTTGAACTGAAATGTCAGCATGTTTTGGTTAGAAAATGTCGAAACAAAAAGTTTTGATTTTTTAAATTTTTGTTGTATTTGTTTTTTATTTCTTATTATTTTATTATTATTCCTTAACAATTATGTATTTTATCTGAGGTATTTGTTTTAGGTATAATTAATTAGGTATTTATTTGTATTTCTTATTATTTTATTAATATTATTTTATAATTATTTATTATTATTAACACCAATTATTTATTTTAGGTGAGATATTTGTTTTAGGAATTATTTTATGTTTTAAAAATTGTTTTTAGGTTTTTTTCTTTCTGATCATTTTATTATTATTACTTCTTATTACCTTATTAACATGAAGGGGAAAGGAGTCCAGGAGAGCTGGCTGTATTTCAAGGAATCCCTGTTGAGGTTACAGGGACAAACCATCCCAATGAGTCGAAAGAATAATAAATATGGCAGGCGACCAGCTTGGCTTAACGGTGAAGTCCTAGCGGATCTTAAACATAAAAAAGAAGCTCACAAGAAGTGGAAGGTTGGACATATGACCAGGGAAGAGTATAAAAATATTGCTCGGGCATGTAGGAATGAAATCAGGAGGGCCAAATCGCACCTGGAGCTGCAGCTAGCAAGAGATGTCAAGAGTAACAAGAAGGGTTTCTTCAGGTATGTTGGCAACAAGAAGAAAGCCAAAGAAAGTGTGGGCCCCTTACTGAATGAGGGAGGCAACCTAGTGACAGAGGATGTGGAAAAAGCTAATGTGCTCAATGCTTTTTTTGCCTCTGTCTTCACTAACAAGGACAGGTCCCAGACTGCTGCGCTGGGCATCACAACATGGGGAGTAGATGGCCAGCCCTCTGTGGAGAAAGAGGTGGTTAGAGACTATTTAGAAAAGCTGGACGTGCACAAATCCATGGGGCCGGACGAGTTGCATCCGAGAGTGCTAAAGGAATTGGCGGCTGTGATTGCAGAGCCATTGGCCGTTATCTTTGAAAACTCGTGGCGAACGGGGGAAGTCCCGGATGACTGGAAAAAGGCTAATGTAGTGCCAATCTTTAAAAAAGGGAAGAAGGAGGATCCTGGGAACTACAGGCCAGTCAGCCTCACCTCAGTCCCTGGAAAAATCATGGAGCAGGTCCTCAAGGAATCAATCCTGAAGCACTTACATGAGAGGAAAGTGATCAGGAACAGTCAGCATGGATTCACCAAGGGAAGGTCATGCCTGACTAATCTAATCGCCTTCTATGATGAGATTACTGGTTCTGTGGATGAAGGGAAAGCAGTGGATGTATTGTTTCTTGACTTTAGCAAAGCTTTTGACACGGTCTCCCACAGTATTCTTGTCAGCAAGTTAAAGAAGCATGGGCTGGATGAATGCACTATAAGGGGGGTAGAAAGTTGGCTAGATTGTCGGGCTCAACGGGTAGTGATCAATGGCTCCATGTCTAGTTGGCAGCCGGTGTCAAGTGGAGTGCCCCAGGGGTCG